AGTAATATAAATTATACCAAATGATGTCACTTTAAGGTAAAGTGACTGGATGTGACTGTAAATTTGTATGTCTAGCTTTTGTTAAGGTACATAACTCAGAGCACTTACAAAAATAATTTAAGCAACACATCATTGGAATAAGTAACTTTTCAAGGTGGCTATTTTGAAAATCTTTTTAAAATTTTAACTAAATTTCAATTTCATGGGCCGCTTAGTGGTGCTGCCTGCCTCAAAAGTGCAAGGTCAAGAGTTCAATCTGCGGTACCAAACAAACAAACAAAAAGTAAATTTCAATTTCATGTACTTTTAAATACAGTTTTTATGAAAAACTATAATGGTACATAAGATCCTAATGATATAATTGACAAAGTGAAATAGGAAGAAAAGAGCTAAAGGTATAGGGAAATTGGGAAGGGTAGGGAGAAGGTAATAAGGGAAAAGGAAAAAAATCAGAAAATGAAAAAATGGAAATAAAGTATTTGTAAATAGGGAAGGGAGGAGGGGGTGAAGGGAGGGCAGGGACAAGGGGAAAAATTGAGAAACAAGACCAGTCATGTAAAGGTACAAGATTGTAATGATGATCTTAACTGTACTGTATAGCTAAAATGTACCAATAAACTCAGTGAGGGAAAAAAAAGAAATTAGGAAATACGGACATACAGAGATATCTAAATCATCTATTTTAATCTCTTACAGGATTTTTTTCAGGGATAAGGATTAAAGCCAGGGCCTCACACATGCTAGGCAAGCACTTTACCAGTGAGCTGTTCCTCCAGCCTTTTTTTTTTTAATTTATAATGCCATCACAAGAGTTAGAGATAGACTTTTTACTGTTGTATATTCTATGCAAACATGTATTTGATAGGATGTATTTTACAGCATAGTTTTTTACCTACATGATATGCTATCATCTTGTCATTAAAAGCTTTTTATATTTCCTTAGTATTCCATGATATATTATTGTAGGACAGCCAAGCTTACATGGGCTTCTAACTTTTTAATGTTATTTTATTTTTTATTATTTGTTTGTTTTTGAAATGTATTTTAAAACCATGTTTTAAGCCATTAAACCATTTAATGTAGGTCCGGAGATTTAGCTCAATGCCTCACAAGCACAAGGAACCGAGTTCAATCCCTGGTACTAAAAATAAGAAACAAAGTAAACCATTTAATGTTCTATTCATTTTGAAAAATTAGGCATATGTCCTATGATATGCTGAGGATTTTTATTGCAGTGTATAAACATTTATACGTTTTCTAGCAGTTATATTTGTAGTACACATTATCTGAAGCTCAAAAACAAGTAAAAGAAGAAATTGCTTGGTATTTCAACCTTCATGGAGTAACAGTTGACTGTGTGATGGTTCTGTTTTCAGCATTAGTGTTACCTGAGAGCTTGGTCCAAATGAAGATTCTCAGCCTGCACCCCAGATCACTGAATCATCAGTGTATGATTTAATAAATCTCCAGAAGATTCTGATCTATGATGAAGATTGAGAACTACCACTAGTAGGCTTTGGAAAAGAGAGAAATGATAACTGCTTTAAAGGGATTTTTTTTTTTTTTTTTTTTTTTTTTTTTGTACAGGGGATTGAACTCAGGTCCTCGCACTTGCAAGGCAGGCAGCCGAACCACTGAGCTAAATCCCCGGCCCTTAAAGGGATTATTTTGATAGCTCTGTGAAAGGTTGAACCATTTAGGAAATTATTTGATTAATTTAGATAGGATTAATAACCATTATAATAACAAAAATAAGACTGAATGAAGATAATGACGGTAAGAATATGTTATAAGAGGAGATAATAGAGCCATCAATAGAATTTGATCACCGAGGATGTGAAGGAGAGGCGCTCTAAGGATTTGAACTGAAAGAGAAGGCCAATGCCATTAAACAGAGAATACAAAGCAAAGAACTGGTTTTAGTGGCATAATTATCAGTTTTGAACAATTACTGCCAGTCTGAGGTGCACATCATCCAAATCTGTCAGTCAATCAGGAATGTGATTCATGTTTTCAAGTGAGGTTAGGATTAAAGACATAATTGGAAATAACTCAGATAAAGGTAGTTGGCTGAATTGTGAGACTGAGGAGTTTTAAGTGGGCATGAGATTAAAGGGGTATTGATCTATAAGCATTATTAATGAGTGGAAGAATTGGGGTCCTGGAGATTCATAGCCTACAGTGATAATTCTTAGATTCCGTGAAGATAATGACCTATAGTTTATCGTAAACATTTTGGGGATACTCCACAATCACCAAAGGGAGATACTCCACAATCACCCTTGTCCCTTTGTTTTCTATCTCACAGAAGTAATACTCTTCTGGTTATGATATTTTGAACATAAACATTATCTTCACATTCCCACATCTACCTACCCAAGCCTTTCAGATTAAAACATGGTTTATTAAAGTTTACTAGGTTGTTTTATGTTGGTCACAGTCACCATAGATGTTCTGCTTTTAATGATACTGTCCAGGCAAACTAGTGAATTTTATTTTTCCTGCATTCACTCACTTTTTGACAAATTTCTTTCTCAGTGCATTGTTGGAGTACTTTTCACAAAGGGAAACGCTGCTCATAGTTACAAGTTTGTATGCAGGGTCTTACATTTGAAAACTAATTGGCCAAGCAGAGGACTGACTATACTGAGAGCGAGAGTGGAATGCTTTAGTGTATAGAAAGTATAAATACAATATAAATTATTGTTAAGGAACATGCAATAAAATTCAAAATTCATGCGGTATAAAGACAGAAACATTGGGAGAAAGTGAAAATTTCTAACATTGAGAAAAATTTATCAAAAACAGATTTGCATGATTTTTTAAAATGACATCAAAAGTCAGGAGTAGAAATGCATTATGGTCACTTGAGTACTAAATGTAAATCAATATTCTAGTAATATACTTAAATGTGGTTTATAAAAGTCTGAAAATTAAATTGTCAAATAGCAAATTTTAATGGTGTTTTTTATGGTCATAATGATAGAAGTTTAAGAGACATGGATTACAAACATATTTTAAAGGGTGGGAGTAGGTCTCTGGGTCTCAGTTGATTTATCTGAAAAGTTGTTACAATTCACCTTGTTTAAAAGTTAAAAGCTAATTAATGTTTTAGTGCACCATGTATTATCTTGCATGGAAATTCCCCATACTCACCACTATCACGTTTTATCACTATTATTGTTTTTGAGATATATTACTCAGTGAGGAACAGGTAACATATGCCATTTATACTTATATAACATGTTTTCAGAATGATCTGAAATAATTCTCCCCAACCATACCTGAATGCCAAGAAACACAGAATCATGTCCCAAGAAACGTTTTAGATTTTCAACGTGTTAATGTATTCTGTTCTTTTTTATAGGAAGTACTTAAACAACTACAAGGAAGTATTGAAGATGAAGCTATGGCTTCTTCTGGACAAATTGACTTACTAGAGCGTCTTAAAGGTAGAAAGTCTATTTGTCATTTCTTCAGTTAAACATTTAACTGGCTTTAAATAAACTGTTTTAGATCTCTTCCTTTCTAATTCTCAGCTCTTTTTAAAGCTCATTGCTATTCTGCCAATCATTAAATAGGACTTCAGTATGCTGTATGCCACAGGCTAAATGGCAAATTCATTTGTAGAACTACTGTATTGTCTTTTCTCTGTTCCGTCTAGGGTAGAAATGTTTGTCTTCTCACATTTATGTGCTGATTTTAAGTCCTTCTTAGTAGAATTTCTTTAAAAATGTCTTTCTCATTTGTTACTTGAAAATTCTAAAGTCAAAACAGGAAAAATGCTAAGTAATAATTGGAAATAAGCAGAGAAACTACTTTTGAATTCCAAAATATTATTAGCTAAAGAGAATCTAGGAAGGATATTTTGTCAAACTTCCTTTAACATACTCCTTTATTCTCCCTGACTCCAACTAACTTTGCAGGGTTGTGATTCCAAATAATTCATATATATTTGTAGCCAAAATATGAACCTAATATTTCTCCTTTAAAATAGTATAATAGCATTAAGAATAGGGCTGGGGATTTAGCTTAGTGGTTCCACTGCCTGCCTCGCAAGCTCAAGGTCCTGAGTTCGATCCCTGGTACCAAAAAAAAGGGAATATTTTATATAACGTAAAGTAATCGTTTCATAGAAACTTATGTCTGTTTTATTTAGAACTTAATTTAGATAGCAGCAGTTTCCCCGGAGTAAAACTACGGTCAAAAATGTCACTCCGTTCTTATGGAAGCCGGGAAGGATCTGTATCAAGTCGTTCAGGAGAATGCAGCCCTGTTCCTATGGGGTCATTTCCAAGAAGAGGGTTTGTAAATGGAAGCAGAGAAAGTACTGGATATTTAGAAGAACTTGAGAAAGAGAGGTAACTTTTGTTCATTATATAGTAAACATTGACTTGTATATGCCAAGCTTCTTATTTTGTAATACAAAATATAGATTATAGATATAGATTATTTGTAGCTAACACTTAAAGAGTATTTTACATTTTTAATCATAAAGTAGCATGTTACTTATATTAAATCTAAAAATGTAAAGAAAGCAGTTTCTTGGTATTCTGAGGACTTCTACTTTATCACTTAATACTTGAAATATTCTGCACATTGAATTATACATGATCATAATATTTATGTCTGGTCAAAATGTACAACTAGTTTTTAATTGAATTTATAGTTATTTTTGAACTAAATTCAGTAACTATTAGATTCTGTATATGACTCTTTCCATTATGGCAGGCCTATACAAGTGACCACAAATGAAATGTTTCTTAATTTATCAGCTTCTGTGTCTTAATGACAATGATTGACATATGGAATGAATTCTGATTTTTCACAGGTAGTGTATTAATTCTTCTCTGCCTGAAGTTAGAATTATCTCACCACAGATAGCAGAATGTAGGTCATTATCACAGTTTTTTCAAGTGTTTTATATCTCCTAAAAGATTTCTTAATCCATAGATAGTACCTTTTTATCTTTGTATGCCTAAAAGTCCTACTAGACATTGATAATGGCAAACTATATGTTATATATTAGCTCTGTGACCTTAGTCAAGTCATTAAATTTTTGTGTCAAGTTCTTCTGTAAAAATAGTGATATGGTTCAGCCTTGTGGAAATTGAATATTAATACCATATATAGAAAATGCCCAGTATATCTCACAGAGACAAAAGACCTTTCATTATTTTCTCACTGGTTTTGTGTGTACATCAACAAAAATAAGGATAATCATATGGACCAGAGGAGATGTTGATTGTTATCTCATCGCCTAGCTTTGCATGAGTCTTAATTTTATATGCTGACTACCAAAACCACATTCTGAAGAATGAGTGAACTAGAATCCATGATCTTCATTTCTTTGATCCCTCTGAGTCTATAAAGAGGCAAGAATGTATGAGCATACCATAGATGTATCTGGGAACTTCATGTTGGTAAAGTCTTAATTTCACTAGTGGAGAGTTTTAGAAAATATTAATATTTCTAGTATTACTAATATTAAGAAAAGTTCTTTTTCTTCCTCCCAGAATATTGTACAACTTTTAATTTACGCATTATTACACACTATAAAAAGTTACCAGGGTTCAAACTTGGGTCCTTGTGCTTGTGAAACAGGCAGCAGAACCACTGAGCTAAATCCTCAGCCCCAAAAAGTTACTTCTTTTGAAGAAAGAGATATTAACATTTTTTGTTCATGGTTAGGGTTCTCAACCCTGACTGACTGATCATTAATATCACTAGATTTACTGTTTGTTTGCTTGTTTGTTTTGAGACAGGGTCTTGCTCTGTAATTCAGGCTGGCCTTAAACTCACTATGTAGCCTGGGCCAGCCTTGAATTCATGGTGATCCTTCTGCCTCAGCCTCAGCCTGTTGTGCCCAGAGTTACTTTTAAAAGCATCATTAAAGGGGAACCCTCATGGGACCCCTCCCAGCTGGGAGCTGCTTTTCTCCTTATTTCCAGTAAACACTCTCCTAACTTTCTCCTTTTTGTCCATGATTTTATTCTTCAACTTTGTGAAGCAGTAGCTTGGTTTTATGCCCTTTATTCAGAATTAACTATTTTCAGATTTGGAGGTCCCACCAAGACTGATAGGAGTATACAGACCTTGGGAAGGATACAGGCCTTAGGGAAACATTTTACCATGCTAATGACCTCCAGACTATAATTGTTTATGGTTTCACTGTCAAACGCCAAATGATCATACCAGGTGGAGCCAGTAGTGTGTGTGACGGACTCCTTTTCTGAGGGCTACTATACTGACCCTCTAAAGAGTGCCAATAACTGCCAACCCCAGTAACTTCCATCACAGCTCAGTAGATTCACTCACTGAAGAATATCCCTGACTACTGACGCCTGCGCCAATCCCTCTCAGCAGAAAGAAACTAGATAGGTCTTTGCCCATCTTCCCCAATAGTTAGGGTTACTACTTCAGAGGAGGAAATGTAGAAGGCAGTTTAGTTAGTTAGCTTGTGAATAGGCACCTAGCAGGAGAAAGGTCTTGAGATAGAGTCAGGTATTCATGTACACTGATAAGAATTAAAATAAACAGTGAAATTGAGACTTTGGCTTAGGAGTTTCTCAGGCAAAATGAAATGCAACCCCTTCTTGTATTCAGGACTGAGTTTTGAGAAATTTAGAATGCAGAATAATTAGTGTTCTTTTAAATCAGTTTTCTTTAAATTCTGTGTACTGAATAACCGGTTTAGAGGGCCTGAGTTCCAATTGGTCATTTTAAACATATGGAGCCATCTGGAAGTGGCCACTGGACAGCTGAGTGTATTCTCATGCTCTTCTTAGGTATGAAAAGTTCTAGACAAAGGGGCAGTGTGGCAGCCCTCTTGGAACTCCTCTCAACTAGAAGCAATTTTTCTTCTTCCTTTCAATAAACACTCTAACTTTCAAATAAATAAAAAGTATCAGTGTTCCACCCCACCCTTTCCTATCCCCAGTCTTACTTCCCATGAGATTCCATAGTATATATCACTTGTTCTTCACTTAATAATTTTGGATATGTTACTGACTCACCACTTTAAAGATGAATATTTGTTAATTTTACTTAATTACCCACCTAGTTTTTTTGTTTTGTTTTGGGTACCAGGGATTGCAATTTGGAAAGATCTGTGTTCAAACTCATTTTTCTTCACTATCAAGGTTACTGATAAGAAAAATTAAATACCAGTCTGATTTTCATTTCTTTGTAAGTGACTTATGTCACAGATTCATTCATATTCTCCCCCTCCCTCCCCTCCCGCTCCTCTCTATCCTTTGTGTTTTGCTGTTTTCATTTTCTGTTCTGCCCAAGATAAGTGCTAGAAAGTAGTTAAGCCAGGACGTAATGCTTAGATTGTATAGCTTTATAACTTTTTTCAACCTCAGTTTTTCCATCTGTAGTGTAATACATTCAAAAGATACTGTAAAGATTACATTGGATTTTTTAAGAAGCCCTTAGCCATATGCCTGGTACATAGGGCATTTGAGAAATGTTAACTATTGTCATGCTGTCTGTTGATTCATTTAATAGATACTTATTGAATGCCTAATTCATATGTGCTGTGCCCTTTTAGCTGCCTATGGTTTAGCTAGAGGACTAAGACATAGATTTTTTTAAAAAAAACAGGATCTCACTGTATAGTCCAGGGTGGCCTTGAACATGCTATGTTGCCCAGGCTAACCTCAGACTTGCAATCCTACTTCAGCTTCCCAAGGATTATAGGTATGCATCACTGTGCTTGGCTTTGAAGAATCTTTTTTTTTTTTTAAGAGTATTGGCAATCACAGACTAAATCTTTAATACGTTAAATCCTAAAGACACTACTTACCTGCTGTAGATCTAACCTTGGTTTTAATTCTGAGCCTTAATAACTGTTGTGTCAGTCACAAGGTCAACTCCTATTATTTAACCACTTGTTTCCTATTTTGGTTTAAGACACTATAAGCTTGGCTTCCCCAGAACATTCTACTAATTTGATGTTTAACTTAATAATAACTTGTTCTCAGTATCTGACCTCCCTTTCACTCCACCACCACAATTGATAATAGCTTATCAATTTAAGTATTTAACACCCAGTTCTTGTTTTAGAAGTCCATTTACTAAATACAGAGAAAACAACAGTGGCACCATCTATCCACTTCTTTCCCTACCTTGCACCTGGTAGGTCCTGCAGCCCCTAATTAAGAAAAGCTGAAAAATAGAATCAGATCTACTCTTCATGCAAGTCATGGTACCCAGATGTGAAAGAGATTCAGGCTTTCTATAGTACACCTGTTTCTGTTGTCAGAAATGGGAGAAAAGGGGTAGCCTCTTATTATCTGTGCTCCTCCCTGGCTGTAGCATAATGAATCGGGGGTTCTTTCCATGCAATATGTTTTCTTACTGTTGAGGTTGTTTACTTTCTGTGTGTGTTGCAGGGGATCAAACTCAGGACCTTGAACTTAGAAGGCAGGCAGTGGAACCACTGAGCTAATTCCCTGGCCCAAGGTTGTTAATTTTTAAAACTACTTCTTAGCAGAGGAAATTTTACCAAGAGCAGAATCTTCCACGTACATTCATGCTCACTACTAAGATCATTCATTCCCATACTTCCCAAGAAAATGTCAAATAGAACTTTTAAAGTAACAATAATGGCAGAGTGAGGAACATTTCTGTGTGACCAAATTCCAGAAGCTATAATAGAAAATATATACATGAAAATCAAGTTTTCCAGATGGCAAAACCATTTTAAACAGTTAAAAGACAAGTGATAAACTGACATAATATATTTTCAATTCCATAACTGACAAAGTACTGTCATTCCTAATATAGAAGTTCTTTAAAGTGAGAGAAAGAAAAGTTATAGGAAAAAAAGTGTAGTAATACCTTGCCTCACAAATGTTTCTGTTTGCACACAATTCAGATGCAAACAAAACCATTTGGGAGAATTTTGTTTGTTTTCAAACTCCCCATCAGGTGACAAACATGACCACTGCCATCCTCCCCACACAAACATAAACACAGCCATCTTCTCCAATATTGTGAAACAAATTAAGTCCATATATGGACGTACCATCATATAAATGGTTTTTAAATTTGAAAAAATGCTCAGCCTCACTTACATTAAGAGAAATTAAAACTATAATGGTGTACTATTTTTTTAAAAAACTAGATATGCTAAAATTAAAAAGTTGGATTAAGCACTTAAATTGGTAAAAGTGATAGGACTATAAGTTAGTGTAGTATCTAACAAGGACACTTAAGTTAAAATTTCATATACATATCCTAGAAATTATGTTGTAAATATGTTTGTCTATGCATGAAATGAGATGTATAAAAAATGTAAGGTAAAATTATTTTTAATATCCAAAGATTAGAAAGCCCTGGTGCCCATCAGTAAAGTCCTGGTTGTAATGGATTCCTTCAGGGGTGCATGAATACTGTGGTATACATTATTTATCATGCAGCATGCAAAAAATGCATGATGCCTGTTTTTATTCTAATATAGAATGATTTCAAAGACTTTTCAGTGAAAAAAATGATAGGATAGCATGTATAATAATATGCTACTATTATAATTAAAATAAATCATATGTGGTGACACAAAACTAATTCTAGCACTTTTGGAGGCGGAGGCAGGAGGGTCACTAGTTTGAGCCCAGCCTGGGCAAGGTGGTGACTTAGTGAGACCCTGTCTCACAATAAAATACAGACTGAGAATCTAGCTCAGTGGGAAGGCCCTGGGTTCAATCCCCAGTACTACCCCCCAAAAAAATCAATAAACTGTATATATAATTATGCACGTACATCTTTGGATTTCTTAGAATATTTCTGAAATTACATGGAAAAAAATTGTAACAAGTCATTGCCTTGGAAAAGAGCCTCTTGAAAAGAGATAAACCATGTATTTTTGTACTTACTGTTTTATTCCAGTAACACTCTTCTTATATTGTGCATTTATGTTTATAATGATCAGATACACAGATATAGATTGCTAAAAATACCATTGATTGGGTTATTTAGGATTACATTAATTCATCTTCACATACCAAACTAAGAGCCAAGAGTGGTGGCATATGCCTTTAATCCCAGCACTTGGGAGGCTGAGATAGGAGAATCCTGAGTTCATTGCCAGCCTAAACTACACAGTGACTTCAAGGCTGGCCTAGACTATATAGCAAGACCCTGTGTCAAAAAAAAAAAAAAAAAAAAAAAAAAAAAAAAAAAAAAAAAAAAAAAAAAAAAAAAAAAAAAAAAAAAAAAAAAAAAAACTCCAAAGAAGTTTTTCGAGCTCAACTAACTCCCTAATAATACACTATGATGATATACTGTATTTGTTATTTTGGCTGCTAAGAAGTGGAAAGCCACATTGTATCCAAAGTAGAAGCTTCTTATATTCTAGCTTGTTTTCTAGAATAATTGCTACTTTTCTTGGTGTGTTTTTTTGTTTTGTTTTGTTTTGTTTTGTTTTTTGCAGTACCGGGGGATCGAATTATGGACCTTGCACTTGCAAGGCAGGCACAGTGCCACTGAGCTAAATCCCTGGCCTCTAATTGCTACTCTTCTGAAATCCTGTAGTATACTTCTTATTCTTGTACTAATTTTGGATTTTGTTATATCTGCTTTTATCTTTCATCATATTCTTAAATTATAAGTAAATAAAGAGTGCCTTTCCTTGAAATGTAAGTATACTAGTACCAATTTAAGTGAGAAAAATAGTAATCTTTTTATAGTCACATTTTAATCGTTATAATATTCTAAGTCCTACCTTCAAAAATCGAAGTTAATTTTAATTTTTTTATTTATTATGAATATTTTAGTTTAAATAGATAATTACAAAAATAGTTGGTAAGGATTTCTCTTATTCTTAAGGAATGCAGTCTGCATTAGCATTGTATAAATTTATCTTTCTTTTAAAAATAGATCATTACTCCTTGCTGATCTTGACAAAGAAGAAAAGGAAAAAGACTGGTATTATGCTCAACTTCAGAATCTCACTAAAAGAATAGATAGTCTTCCTTTAACTGAAAATGTAAGTAATTTGGCAGTACAACTTACTTTAGACTTTAATAATTTGATTCTTAAAAGTACTTAAATTATGCATTAAAACTTTGGGGATACTGAATTTATAATATTATAATTATAATTATAAATGTTTTATATAATTATATATGTTTTCCTGACTTTATATCTGAACATATTATAGTTACTGAATTTCAGTTTATAAAGATGATTAAACATCATTGTGCTCCAACACATATTTATTTGAAAAAATCTGGTAAGTTTGAATTCCTAAAGTACTCAAGATTCTACCAGGCAACTGATTTTTAATTGTATGTATTGAATTTCAGACATACTGTGTAGAAATATTTACTACCATCTGCCTGTTTTTTAGTACCATATTATAGGTATAATGCCAGATAATTTTTGCAATAAAACTATCTTTGAAGATATTTTGAGTCCTACTTCAGGTATAAATGACAATAGCCATAGGTATTCTACAGTTTGTTTTATTATGTTAAAACAAAATCCTGTTCAGTCTCCCTCTCCACCTGCCTATGTTAATTGTTTTGTATATGTAGTGGCACATAGTAAGAAAGCCTCTGAAATACATTAATAATCTCGATTGTATTCAACTGCTATCCATAAATATTTGATGTAAATTTTGAAAAGAGAAAGTAGACTAGTTGAAATAAACTTGCTTTCTTTTCTTAGCTTAGATCTTTCATTTACTAATAGCATTTTTGAAAGACGATGATGGACAAAACTGTAAAAGTAAAAAGCGGGAAAATTTTTACCAGAACATGAAGTTAACTAGACTGCCTGAATAGAGTTTGGGTGGCAGAAACTAGAAATAGAGGTTTTAAGGGCTTGCTTTCCCTAAGCAGTCAGTCATTCAAAGTTTTGAGAAGGAGAGTAAGGCTTCCTCTTCCTGTATCCTCAAAATGTTCCTGGAAATTAAGGAAACATAGGGGGTGAAAGATGGTTGTTGGAGAACCATTAACAGATTAAGGATTAGAAAATCAAAAGGATTTTGTGGGATTTTTATAACAACATTACCACAGTATAATTTTGCTCACCATGGACTTTGGTAAATAAATAATATACAAAATTCACAGTGTATCTCTATGCATAAATTTTGGAAAAGAACTTATGTGTATATGACAACTCAAGAACATTTATTTACTATCTGATATAAAGATCGGTTGTCAAATAATTTTATTCTATTAATTTATTAAATAATCATATTTATTTAATAACATATAAGGCATTTTTATGGGCCTTTAGCACACTTAAACTTAATGTTATAACCATTATTTAATTATAGAAATTTTGCTTTCATACAGAGGAACCAAATTAATGAACATTTTTATATGGAAAAACTTATCTACTTATCAAAATCCTAGACACTGCCTCAAGCATCAGCTCCAAACTACATTATTGCAACATGCCGTGTCACATTTAGCATTTTTTTAGGGGATAGTTGGGAAGTGGAGGACAGTGAGTGACTCGTCACTGACTCAGTGAGCATAAGATCACATGCAGATTATGTCATCCATAACATAGCCCAGAATTTCAGTATGCCAGTAGGAATACATTCTGCATGTGAATGTTTTGTGTATGTTTCAAGAGAAAAGGGTAAAAACTAGCATAAGATGACAATACAACTTGGAGTTCTTAGACCAGACTGCTATTCAGAATCAGACATGAGTTACATGAGTTTTCTGTAGACAGAGTATGAAAAATCTGTGTTACTTCCCTCCATGACCCTTTATAACTCCCACTTTTCATTTTATCTGATAGTGTTTTATTTTTTTCTTTTCATTCTTTTATATGCCTAGCAGTTATTACAATGCCTGCAATTTTAATGAGAGGCTAATAAGTTTTGAATGAGTTATTCCCTGCACTATGAAGAAGTACTTTTTATTTGTTCAATCTTTGCTTCACTTTTAGATTTTTACCAAAGTTTGTGTTGACTTTGCTAGTTTATGATTATTCATTACCTATAGGCTTTTTCTTACCTCTTTTTTTTTTTTAACTTTACAAGTGGAAAAAGTTCTGTTTAATCTGCATTCATTTGGTAATCCATACCTTACAATGAGATATAAGGTTGATGAGCCTGTTTCTTGATTTTTCTTCATGTTGTCGGTATTAATATGCAAGGTTTTTTGTTTGTTTGTTTGGGGGGTTTTTGGGGAAGGGGGTTGGTACCGGGGATTGAACTAAGGTCCTTGCACTTGCAAGGCAGGCCACCGAACCACTGAGCTAAATCCCCGGCCCAATATGCTGGTTTTTAATAATTAGAAATAATGCCTTTTCAGTGGGTAGGAATCACAAGGGAACTGACATTAGGCTCACTGTAACTGGACCAATTACATATTTTAAATGAAACAGTCCAATTGAATTAAAGCCATTTTTGAATTTAGGGCAGTGTTTTAACTCCTCATCACATCAGCAACCCAGGCAGAGCCTGGCACCTGTAATGAAATTTTAAGACTCTAGAGTAAAAGTAATTTTCCCATGCACCAAGACTTAACACATTCACTTAACCATTTTCTTTATTGGTACTTACATACTTTTTTGTTTTACTAATAAACATACAAACACAATGAGTTACTAATATCTTGTGTTATTTGGTTTTAGTTTTCCTTACAAACAGATATGACCAGAAGGCAATTGGAGTATGAAGCAAGGCAGATCAGAGTTGCAATGGAAGAACAACTGGGCACATGCCAGGATATGGAAAAACGAGCACAGGTAACTTAGGTGTATTCAAACTATAAAGATTTTTATGGGGCAGGGAATGTGGCTCACATGTAGAACACTTGCCTAGCATACAAAAGGCCTTAAGTTCGACCTTCAGTGCACAAAAGAAAAAGAAAAAAATGTGTGTGTTGAATGTGTGCATACACACCTACACATGCACGCACACACACACAGGTCTTTATGTTGACACTGTTTCAAAATAAGAATTTATCATGACTGCTGCACAACAGAACTCATTTCACATAATTCTGCTTCCATAATATATTTCCTTTCCCCCAGTACTATCTGTTCTGACTTAGAATTATAAGAGCAAGAAAGATTCATGTCTTTTGGTAGCTGACAGCTAGGTTCAGCTCTCCTTTGGGATTTTTACTTATTAATTTAAATATATGTGATGACATTCAAAATAATATTGTTCTTCAAAATCTGCACTTTAAAGAAAAAGAAAGCATTAAAAAATTAGGAGAGATGAAATAAGTTGGGTGGAGAACATTCTCAGATTTCTACCCTGAACTAAGGTCAAGAAAAGCATTAAAGAGTTTTGCTGTCTCTCAAGCCTTGTCATCTGTTATGCCCTTTTGTTTTGTTTTTTGTTTTTTGGTACCGGGGATCAAACTCAGGCCTTGTGCTTGCAAGACAGACAGTGGAACCACTGAGCTAAATCCCCAGCCCCATTATGCCCTTTTGTATTTATACACATATAAATGTCTTTAGCCTTTGAGAGGCTTTGGTGATTGTCTTGTCCCAAGATGAGTGTGGGAATTTTTTTTAATGTTGGAGACAAACTGGAAGAACATTTAAAGATTTTCTTTAAGTAAATAGCAAATAAAAGGATAGGCCTACACCTGTATGTGTGCTATAAATATATTTTGTGTGCTGTAAAGTTTATTTCATAGTTTTAGAATCACTGAATATGATATTTTTCCATTTCCCCAAAACATGGGCTTTATAGTAACTTCCTAAACATAATGTGTATTCTATTTCGGTTAAACTGTGCTTATAGACTAAGGTGAAACCTAATACCAAGACCATGAGAAAAAAATGTGAGAACCTCACTTACAAAGGGAAGGATTGTTGGTAATTCATATGTATCTAGAAACCCGTCTATTTCTTCTGTTTTCCATTTTATTAGAGTACAGGTTCTCGAAGTAGGTATTGATGATCCTCTGGATTTCTGCTGGATCTGTTGTGACTTCACCTTTTTCATTCCTAATTTCATGGATCTGAGCCTTTTCTTTCCTTTTTTGAATAAGGTTGGCTAAGGGTTTATCAATTTTTATTCTTTAAAAATACCAATTCTTCAATTTGTTGATTTTTTTGTATCGTTCTCTTAGTTTCCATTGCATTGATTTTGCTCTGATCTTTATAATTTTCTGCCTCGTACAAGCTTTGCGTTTCTTTTGCTCTTCTTTTACTAGGAGCTTAAGATGCAGTATTAGGTTATTTGAGCTTGCTCTGTTTTCCTAGTATGGGCATTCACTGCTATGAGTTTCCCACATAGAACTGCTTTCATTATATCCATAAATTCCTGTATGTTGTACTAGTATTATCATTAAATTGTAAAAACTATCTAATTTCATCTTTAATTTCCTCTGTGACCCATTGGTTGTTCAAGAGAGTGTTATTCGATTTCCATTTGTTTGTGAAGTTCTTGCAGTTTCTTTTATTATTGATCTCCAGTTTAATTGCACTGATAACATACATGGGATTACTTCATTTCCTTTACATTTACTTAAACATGTTCTGTGAACTAGTTTGCAGTCTGTTTTGGAGAATGACCTGTATGCAGCTGAAAAGAATGTATATTCTGCTTTTGTGGGCTGGAACACTCTATAGACATCTCTTAAGTTCATTTGTTCAAAAGCTTGGTTCAGTTCTCATATTTCGTTGTTGATTTTTTTGTCTAGGTGATCTGTCTATTTGTGACAGTGGGGTATTGAGGTCCCCCACTACAACTGAATTAGTGCTTATTTGGTTTTTCATGTCCCTTAATACTTATTTTTACATAGTTGGGAGCATTAGTATTTGCTGCATATATATTTATGATTGCCATCTCTTCCTTTTGGATTGTTCCCTTTACAACGATGTAATGACCTTCTTTGTCTCTCTTAATTAGTTTTGGTTTGAAATTTATATTGTCTGCAAATAAGATAGCTACCCCTACTTTTTCTGGGTTCCTGTCGCATGGAGAACTGTTTTCCATCTTTTTACTTTGAGTCTATGAGTTTTTTAACTAGGTGCATTTCTTGTATACAGCATATTGTTGGATTTTGCTTCTTAATCTATTCTGCCAGTCTGTTTCTTTTGATTGGTGAATCAAGGCCATTAATATTGATAGTTATAACTGATATGTATTGACTTATTGTCATGTTATTTTCCTGGTGTTGGCTCTGTTTTATTTTTCTTCCTCTCCCTTTAATTTCTTGTCTTTTAGATTTGCTCTGTTGTGCCTTGTGGAGTTGTGACCTTCATTGTCTTTTTCTAGTATGTTTTTTAAAATTGTTTGGTGGGCTGGTTTGGTATTTATGAACTTTCTCAGGTGTTCTTTGTCATGAAAATATCTTAATTCCCCATCCATTTTGAAAGATAGTTTTGCAGGATACGTCAGTCTAGGTTGGAAGTTGTTTTCTTTTAGGGCTTGAAATACCTCACTCCAGGTTCTCCTTGACCTGAGAGTTTGTGTAGAAAAGCCTGTTGTAATCTGATGGGCTTTCCTTTGCATGTGAGTTGTTTCTTTTCTCTAACTCTTACAGTATTTTGTTCTTCTGTTGAGTTTCTGGGATCTTGACTATTATATGTTTAGATTTTTTTTTTTTTTTTTTTTAAATCATGACTAGTTGGTGTCCTATATGCCTCACTTATCTGTATGTCAGGTTCTTTGGTTCTGGGAAGTTTTCTGCCGTTAATTCTGTGAACTGTTTTTTTATGTCATTTGCACTTTCTCCTGCTTTTTTGCCAACTCCTATCCATCTTATATCATTATTCTTTGCGTCATCTAGGAGCTGTTAGATTGATTTCTCATTGTCCCTTACTGTTTTTAAAAGATCTGTCTTTTCATGGTTACTGACTGCCATCCTGTCTTCTCTATCTGATATTCTGTCTTCAGATTGGCTCTGTCAGCTATGTATACTTTCAGTAGAGTTTTTAATCTCTTGGATATCAGATTGAATCTATTTCATGGATTCTATTTCCTTCCTATGTAGGGCCTTTGTAGTTTCCATTTCTTTTCTCTAATGGGCATTTATGGCTTCCAGAATGGTCCTCAATTTATCTATTTTTTTTTAATCTGTTTCTATTGTAGAGACTCTAATCATGTCTCTTTTTTTTTTTTTCAGCTTTAATTGAGTTTATTGGTACATTTTAGGGTTACAGTACAGTTACATTCATTGTTGGGATCTTGTACCGCTACATGACAAGTCTTGATTCTCATTTTTTCCCCTTACCCCCACCCTCCCTTCACCCCCTCTTCCCCTTCCCATCTACAAACACTTTATTTTCATCTTTTCATTATCTCACATTTTTTCTTTTCCCTTACTACCCTTCCCCTACCCATCCCACCTTCCCTACACCTTTAGCTCCTTTCTTCCCATTTCTAAATGTCAGTAATCTTATTAGAATCTTATGTATTATTGCAGATTATTCACACCAGAGAAACTATTCGGTATTTACACATGTGTGACTTATTTATTTCACTTAGGACTATATCTTCAATATGTATCCATTTTCCTATGTCTTTTTTTTTA